TCTTTCTATACCCAACCTTAACAGGGCATATGGCATAAGTATTTCTTTCTGATTGTATTTGTAGGTATCAATATTTTTATTCGATAATAAAACTCAATTTTTTAAAATAAAAATTTAAGAGTATAAATAAACTGTAGTGAGCTATTTATTGCTTCTCTTGGCAACAATTTGTCAGACTTTTCGAAGCAAAAATTCGGCAAAAATTTATTTTATCCATAAATAAACTTAAGGCCGATATTGATCAAATAAAGAAAGGACATTTTTAACTGATATCCAATGTCATATCCTACCTAAAACGTGACTTAAAATGTGAGTTGGACACGACTTTTCCAGAAAAGCATATCTCCTTTGTAGTCAAATAGATATGCAATAGATATGTAGTCAAATATGTAGTCAAATAGATATTTCTAGACAAAATAGATAGTTCATAGGGTAAAGAAGTAAGCGCAAACAATGCATAATTGCATCATTATATTAATAATCTAAACTATCGAAATAATATTTTATTTACGCATTTAACGGAAAAAGTTTAAATTTTATTTTAAATAGTTTTTGAAATTTTGCAAATACATATCTTTTTTAATTTTGCAACTAAGAAATATCATAAATTTGACAGTTTTTAAAAATTTGCATCACATGAGAAGACATAAGTTTTTTCTCTCGGAGTTTTTAGTTTTTGTTTACACATTTAACGATAGGTGGAGTTTCGAGGATTGAACGGGTAAATCAATGAATCAATTAAAAATACCATCACAATTTTTCGAAATTTCATAATGAATAAAATCACATTAAATTGTTCAAGAAACTACCAACTGCAAGCAATAAAGAATAATTAAAAATCACCATTTTTCGAAATTTTTTATTGGGCGAAACCACATTAAAATATTTAGCAATATTGATTATCGGCTTCACTCACATGTCGCAATGCGGCATGTTTTGATGTGATTTATAATTATTTTTAATTTTTCATTGTTCATTGATTTACACGTTAACTTTCCAACACAACATCTGCCGTAAATGTTTGTTAATTAAAAACAAAAGCTCCTATAAAAAAAATTATGTACTGTTTCTTGAATTTTCTTAAAGGAAAAGGGAAATTTAAAAGAAAACTAATTTATTTGTTCTATTACGTGCAAAAAATAATAAAACTAGCAAAAAAAATATGCGTATCATTATTATCTTTTTAAATGACCATTTTTTGGTAAAAATAAAGCATTATATACTGCAAAAAAATTTCCTCCGCTTGAAACAAAAAATTCTTTGAGTGTTTTATTTAAAAGGATATCACTATGTTTTGAACTATTATATTAAATACGAATGCATATACTAATAAGCTAGCAAATTTTAAAAAACTTTCGTACTTGTTTTAGCGAAAAAAACATACATAAGAAATAGAATTCTACTTTTTCTCTTAGTTTGTTGTTCAAAACATGCGTGATATAATCATAAACATTCACGAAAAATTGTAAACAATTATTTTAAATATAACATGAGACATCGTGTTTAAAGTGGTACAAAATGTAAAATAAATCTGATTTTGAGTTAAGCGCATTTAAAGACTTAAAATAATCTGTTATCTCCTTGTACAAAAGTAGCTATGGCTTTGTTAGTAATTGAAGTACAAATGAAAATAAAATATTTTTAGAAATCTATGAGTAACCTTAACCTTTTTCCTGTTAGAAATATTAGAAAACCATTTGTTGAAGCTGTATGTAATATATGTCAAAGGACTAGAAATGAAAATATGACGTTTTTTTAAAATTTATAACAGTCGTTGAACAGCCGACCCAATTTTTTGGGTTACGGCTACTAATATTCAACTCTTCAGCCTAGTTATTTTGAACCCAATCTAGATGACAAGGGAACTCCTGGATCAAGTATTGGGAGAAATTTGCCTTTGTGGTGGATTTTTTTCAATGGCACTAACCCGTATTTGGCAGGCAGTCAGTCAACACAAGCTGTTGTCCGTGAGGCTAATAAAAAAAAAAAGAAAAAAAAAAACCTCAAGCTCGATCCACACAAACAAGAGAAGGCTTAACTGTCTATAAACGCACACACAATAAAAAACAGTAATCTATATCATGATCCGCTAAAACACTGCCTCAACTACTACTCATAAGAAAAATAGGTAAAACACGCAACACAACATAAACAAAACATACATACCACACAAGCCTCACCACTGACCCTGCTCCCAGTCCCTGGGGACAGACAGTGAGTCCGGAGCTTTTCAGCTACCCGTGATGGCCATTTATGTTAAATGTTTAAAAAAAAAAAAA